CGATACAAGTTTAGGGTATCTCTTAGTCCGAAAAGACGATATTTGATATAAAACAATAAAACTAGAGTAAATATCAATAACTGCTATTCTTCCATAAAACGAAGCTATGTACCACGAGTCGCTAAAATAGGCTTATGATTAAGACATATAAGCGAGTTGTATCGTTTGATCTTCTTCTCAAACAATAATGTGTACTTATTTGGTAGACATGTCATACGACTACTAAACTCTTGGGTATAACCTGCATATGTACTCAGTGGACAGAAACATTAGATAGTTACTTCCTTTCGCACAGGAATACCATGATTATATATATATAACTTCAATCGTTGTACAGAATATAGATACAGAACGATGAATTTAGTTTTGTAGTAGTTTACTACAAAGCTAAGTTCACATGTTCGAATCTCTATTGGTACAAAATCAATTTTATGTTTTTCGATAGTTTTAGTTTAGAATACTATAATGGAATATTTTCCGCTTGTATTCTGACAGAATAAAGCTTATATCAAGTATGTTCATAAAGCGGAAAATTTTGAGATCAGTTGGTATCTTTTTATTTTACAGAAAAATTATTCTCAAATGAAAATACTGAACAGAAAAAGCTTGTTGTCTCAAAATCATGGATTCTGTCCTAATGAGACTTTATTATACCTGTGACAGGATACATAGGATATACTACTTATGACAAAAGTTTGTGGACTTGGACAGAAGCGGGCGATGACAAACAGCAAAAAAAACAACTAAACGTTACGCTTTGTATGTAGATGGAAATGGTTGTCATCATCTCGAAAAGCTAATAACATAAAATATATCCAACCAACGTTTTATTGCTTAACGATTGTGAGCACGTTGTCATCCATGAAAGCGTCTAAATCTGTCCCAGTATGTCGGATAAATTTCATTGTATAATTGATACTTCGTGTTCCCACAGGTATGGTGTATGCATTTGAATATTGGCCCCATACCCCCGCACTGAAATCAACTTCTGGAGTGCTAATATTTTGCAAAAGGACGTTGTTCACATCCAGAAATGCCAAAATAACCTGCGCATCGTCATTATTCGCACCTTGATTGAGTCCTTGTTCCCAGAATGAAATATGAGCTACTAAATTGCACGAGTCAATGAGGGCAGGTGTAATGCTTTGAGTGCCACTAATGACGACATTTTGTGTCAGTGCTACTGTTTGAACTGAGAACCTACCGAACTGATAGCCGCCACTGTGCGGTTTAATGTTTGGATCAAATGTTCCATTGTCAATACCGGGCGCTGACGTACCAACGATCGCCCAAGGTGAAAGAAATCCGGTTTCAGCTCCAGGGTTCACCAGCAAATTACTCACATTTACAGAAGTACAAGCTAAAACGAATATTTTAACGACGTCGAGTAAAAATCGAGAACACTTACTACTAGAAAAACCAAGCAGATCGCCTCGGCCGAAAATACACACCCTCGCAATGATAAACTCCTGCTAGTTAGCCACAAAGACTCAGGACGACAAAACATTAATAGTTAAAGCCCGACCAAAAAGAACCAGGACACCGAACGATGCAAAAGATTTTACGCAATAAAACCCTGTTGTCAAAAATCGCTGACACATCGGTTACCCATTAACAATCGCATGATTAATTACTAGATTCTACAGTCCCACGTGACAGTCCATATCCGACAAAAATCTGGTCATGCACATGAATCTGGCAACAATAGATCCCATCTGTGTACGAACAAAAATCGTTTTATCTGGTGCAATCACCGTTCCCGTGCTGCAATATGTGACCTTTAACCAAATAGACTTTTGCCTGCATTCTCTAACACTTATCGATCGAATTAATAATTTTTCATCAAGTCGAATTCTACAATCACTTTTGCCACAAGAAAAATGTAGAAGGTATCTAGAGGTCTCAAATTGACATGTTTCTAGTCATTTTCGAATTTTTAACGGATACAGTCAGAAGGGTTTGCTTGGTGAAAATCATCGTGTCCGAGTCTACTGTCTAAATATGTCGGTGACTCAAAAGAGTAAGAGATGAAAATGTTTCCAAAAATGTCTCTGCTCTTGTCCTCCACCTTCGCAAAGGCTCGTCGAATTTGAAGCTATGTCTTAGGTTTTCTAGGCAAGAGATCAGTGTCTGAATCACCGAAAATGGCACTGTGTCAAGCGACATCTAGAAACTCTTAAAAATTTATCAACTCTTGACTCTTTTATTGCTTCCAAAGTTGTTGTGAAAAAGTCGTTGGAGAAGACTTTTCAATGGCAAGTCACCGGGTCAAAACTTCAGACGTTTGCGTTTTATGCCTCAATTCTTTAATTACACGTCTATCGACGTTTCGTGTTTATAAGAAAGAGTCTAGCCTTTCCTTAACTCACCTACGGGACAAATCTAGATACATTTCGCCTGTGACCGGGCGATGTACATGCAGTTAAAAGTCCCCTCCCCCAACTACTAATCTAGATGGCAACTAGTCGTGCAACTAGCACTAGTTAAATCGATCAATGATCGGGCGATAAATCGACAGCAGCCACCGAGAAGAAATCTAATTATTACTTGAAGTTACTGTTGATGTCGTTAAAGTTGATGTTGCGGCGGCCGATAAACCTAGCATTAGACCTTTCCAAGTTCAGGTTTCGTTCAGAACTGATGAACTGTTCAAAACGCTATATTCAGCGAACTGAACTGGTCGAGCAGTTCTTTTGAGCGAGCTGAACTTTTTGAACAGTTCGCTTTGAACGAGCTGAACTGGTCGAACAGTTCTTCCGAGCGAACTGAAAGTCGTCTTTCAGCTGCTACACTGGCATAGTCACACAGTGACTACACAGTATCGTACTAATGTAAATATTTTTCAAAGAAACTTCTTAGCTGCTTTTAAAAAAATCACTAAAAATGATGTCGCTTCGGATAGAAAGAAAAGTCCTTATTTGATGACATTCTGATTTGGCTTAAGAGTTTTGCAATAACACCAACAAACATTTCATATATTCACAATAACTTTCATAACAAAATCCAGCCTTTTACTTCCTCGCAGTGTCGAATGGCAACGCCAATTGGCGGCTAAAAGAGGCTAAGAGACGACTCCGAAATCAACAATCGAAGAACCCATTCCGGGCAAAAAAAACTCGTCCTCGTCTTACCGCAGCGCGAAGAGATCAAAATCATCGCACATGAAAGAGCAGTTACCTGTTCTCGACAATGCCACGGCAAAACGACGACAAAAACACGACAATGTCTCACTGTCACATCATGAGGCCATTATAATATCAACATACAATGTACGAACCATGAAAGATGCCGGCAAATTACATCAATTGATCCATGGTTGCGCAGAACATGACATTCAAATAGTCTCCATCCAAGAACACCGCTGGCAGACTACAGTCCCAGTCGACACGCACATAGAAACACTCGGCCCAAATAGACCATATTCTAATAAATGGAAAATGGCTAAATTCCATCAGAAATGTGCGAGCCTATAACACCGTCGAGCTTAAGTCAGATCACAGAATTGTAAGCGCAAAAATCAAAATCAGTCTCCGCGCCCCAAAAGAAGAAGAATGCATCAGAATCAAATTCGACTTGAGTAGACTAGAACGAGACCAACAGCTCCAATCCCAATTTAACAGCGCGGTGAAGAATCGATTCGACGCATTGCAACAAACAGCCGACTTACAAGATAAAATACGACAACTTCGAAAAGTCAATCGAAGAAACGGCAGCTGAAAAGGTCGGAAAACTGAAGAGGAAAGCTAAAAAGAACTGGGTAAAAATCGAAACTCTAGAACTGCTTAACGAGAGAAATAAAGCGTTCAAACAAAATCAAAGCGAGATGGCCAAGCATCGCTGGCAGCAGCTAAACGAAATGCTAGATAAGTCTTATGAGAGAGACCAAGTCGATTTCCTCGAAGGCAAATTAAGCCAACTCAAAGTGACTCCGGAAGCGCTTAAATACGGAGGAGAAGAGGTGATCAAGCGACTTTGCGAAATCTGCAACGATGAACGGGCGCCAAAGCAGTTCACAACCAACCTCATCGTCCCACTGCCAAAGAAAGGAGATCTAACTCTGATAAACAACTACAGAGGTATCAGTCTAATGTCGGTCGCCGCCAAAGTTTATAACAAAATCCTCTTAAATAGGATACGAGATCCTATCGATAAGGTTCTTAGAGGGAACCAAGCCGGGTTCCGAAGAGGAAGAAGCTGTACAGACCAGGTGCATATCGTTCGAAGACCAAACGATAAAAATTTACCTTTATTCATCACGTTCGTGAACTTCAAAAAGGGATTCGACTCGATCAAGAGAGCAGCGATGTTCGGAATACTGCGACACTATGGAATTCCAAGCAAAATAGTCCGAGCAATCAAAACCATATACAACAATTCCAGAAGTGCAGTATTAGTGGAAGGGAAGCTGCCAGAAGAATTTGACGTGACCACTGGCGTCCTACAAGGCGACACATTAGCGCCCTTCCTTTTCATCATCGTCAACGATTACGTGCTCAAGAATGCCGAGCTAAAACATACAATACAACAGGGTAAGAACAAAGGTGAACATGGATTTGTTACCAACCCCAGGCAATCAACCCGTCAAGACGTAACAACAATATTCGACCTGGACTTTGCAGACGACATTGCCTTATTAGAAGGAATTCTCGAAAGAGCGCAATCACAACTGTCCTTACATACAAATATTTCATATATTCACAATAACTTTTATAATATTAAATTTCATTTATTTGTGAATTCAAATAAATAAAAGGCTTAAATAGGTTAGATAATGTTTTCGGCATCTTCATAGTTTTGTGATCATCCTCAAAAAGTCCTTTAACCTTATCCAGTGGATAAGGTTAAAAAAACTCCTAGATATACTGTATAAATTAGGAATTGACAGGTCCTGGTTGTCCCTATGGATAGACCTTGAGAAGTTTTAACTACGTCCTATGGATAGATCTTGATATATTAGGCCAAATTACCGATCTTCCAAAGTCGACGTTCAGTTCGCTCAAAAGAACTGTTCGACCAGTTCAGCTCGTTCAAAACGAACTTTCGAAAAGTTCAGTTCGCTCGAAAAGAACTTTGAACAGTTCTTTCACTCATTGAACAGAGTTCGTGAACGTGAGCTGGTGAACCCCTACCGAGCATAAAATGGTTCATTTTATGATCAAACTGATTATTTTAGTCTAATCGACTGTTTTGCGCTGGTATTCTACCGATTGTACCGTTTGCGTGAGAAAAATGAAGAAAATAAAGTTTTTTCCGGACAATTACAGTGGATTCTACTAGCTCTAACAATGACAAAAGGCGAGTTTTCCCGACTGTCACTCTCATTTCTCCCAGAAAATAAGTTTTTGCTACGAAAAGCAGCAGGCAATTCCCACGCTAGACAGAAAACAGACTTGAAAACATTATTTTTATGTATTATTCGATAGATCTCAACTGGCTAATGAGACTAGTTTCAACCTATTTGAAAAAAATTTTAATTGAGATAGTATGAGTTGTCAAACGGTGAAGCATAATGATGAGAAAGTATACGCTTAGAGGTATTTGTAAAGTGTTAAATAAATTCAATCAGATTTCCCGACAAGAGACGTATCGAAAGGGTTATGTTTAAGTGGTTTTGTTTTCAGAAATTTACTCAGTTTAATCTCGCGTTACCTTTTTAAGCGAAAGAGTATTGAGTGACTTTTGGCCAGTAAAACGCAATTTCACATGATTCTAGGCTTACAGTCAATTAAATAGAAGAAACCCTGAAACTTTGGTGTTAGCATCTCATTAGAAAAATAGGTACTTTTGCTGCGATGCATCAAATTAGTTGAAACTAAGGCGATAATGTGAAAACAGTTGCCGCTGCTGCTTCAGCGGTTGTTGTTAGATGAAGTTGTTGCAAAAGTTCAAGTGATGCTTTTGCTGTAGTCGGCGTTGTTGTTTTCGTTTTACGATCATTAACGTTTTTT